TAAGGCCCAGCGAGGTCCAAGGGCTGTTTCCCAGAAATAGATCACAAAACCTCCATAAAAGAAAACACATTAAGCATGTGAATTTCCAACTGAAATTTGATTTAGAGGAGAGTGGAGTATTTTGTCCTGTCATAGAAGTGAAAAAGACAAATGGTACATGTCAAAAAGACAGAGTTCTTTAAAAAGTCCACAGCTTGAGTAATTTAAGAATTTTTTTTTAAAAATGGATAAGAATTAAGTCTCTGTAAATCTGGACAGGATGGGAACAGAACCAGTGAGAGAAAGAGGAGAAATGAACAAGTACTCATTGTGGGAAGATATCTGTTAATACATTTTAAAACAATGGAAAGAGTATAAAAATCATTACTTTATAATCCCAAATTGATTGATTCAGGTAGAAATCATCAATGAAAGCTAACACCACTCAATAAATAGATTTTGGGGAACATGATCTACATATGGGATCTGAGCTCAGCCCCATATATTACTTTGCAATCATCAAATCTGTACTTTCGTAATAAAGAGACCTGTCGTGCACCACCTGAACCGAATCCCTGAACTTAGCCTCACCAAGAAGGAGACAAAGTGACATCTGTTCTGAGCAGTAATTGCTACCAGAGTAACTGAGAAATGATCTATCTTGAATTTCATTATGAGACTAAGCAAGTACATGCAACATTCTTTCAGACAACTCTTTTGGACTCTTCAAAAGTCACTGTTAATGAGGTTAAAAAAAAGGTGACTAAACTGTAGATGACTGAAAGATTATGTAAATTGAATGCAGTGTGTGAATGCTGATGGGATTCAGGGTAACAAATGACAAAAGAAATGTAAGATCGGTGGAGAAATCTGAATGTGAATAGTAAATTAGATGACATGGTGGAGTTCAACTTCATCTTCATAAATGTGATAAGGGTATTGTCACTTTGCAGAAGACTGTCCTGAGTTGTAGGCTATGCATGCTGAATTATGCAGAAATGACAAACCCACAGTAGTAAGCCTGCAGGTTATTTTTAAATGACTCGAAACTGCTCACCAAAAAATTGTCAACTGAAACATGGATTACACAATAGATTTGTGTGGCACTATATTAAAATTATGAAGGTCCTTATAATCTTCATTCCTTCAACTTTTCTTGGGTTTGAAATCTGTCAATATAAAAATTGGTTGGAAAAGCCTCCGTTGCTCAGAAATATTGTCTGTTTTTAAAAAATACATTTTGTCTTAAAAATTAGGAAACTTTTAGTGTCTGTAGGTCCAAAGGTTAGAAGTAATTGTGACAGGACATGCTATATGTGATAAATAAAAGGAGTTGGGAAACACAGCATTACTTGAAGATGTGAGAGATCTGAAAACACTAGGCCATACCAGTCAAAGGGCCAGCTCGCCTCAGAGGCCTTGACTGACGGCCCCGCTAAATCCCCAGCACCTGCCCCTTTGCTGAGTGAGCTGGATCAAACAAAGACTAGGCTGCATGGACAGCTGGCATCCCATACGGTCCAGTGAGGGCTGGTCCTAGGACTGCAGCTAATAAGCAAGAAAGCACCCTGCTCTGTCATTTGTTGTCCTGCAATTTTCATCTCATAAATCCAGTCTGGTTAAGACCAGGGCTGATCACACAGTAAAAACCCTACAAAAAATTTTGAAGCAAGAACCAATTGTGTTTTTCTACATTTACACAAAAATCCAACATTTCTTCACTTTTTTTCCCCTCCCTCTGTCCTCTTCCAGTCAAATCTGTTGTGAAGTGAGGCCGCACTAAATTTGGTTGTTGTGAGATGTGAATTTCTGCTAATGTGACAACATGTTCTCTTTTAAGTGTGTATTAGCACTAACTAGCTGATGAAATCCCACTCCAAGTGCATGAAGTTGTCACGACAGATTTCAGAAATGAGCAGACAATGTGCCAACCATTTTGAAGGGACATAAAGGCCTCCAGTTAAATCCAAGCCATCCTACCTGTATAAACAGCCTTACTCATGAGTGACTTAATCATGGCTAATATTCATTGTTTTTCCTTTCCAGGGAACTGACAGAGGTCATTGATCTTTCAAGGTTTAGAAAACTAAAATACTTATGGCTCCATCATAACAAGGTAATAGTATATTTTATCTTTAAATTAAAAACTTAAATTATTTTAATTTCAGGTTTTTAAATGATGTTCATATTTAGAAGCATGCTTATTTTATTTAACAGAGAAGGAACATACATGAACTGAATACCTGCTACATGTATAGCTGGAAACTGTATGGCAAATACATGTATATCTGGGATCTTGGGTAAGGACAATCTCTGAGATTCTGTTAGTGTGCAATTTTACTCTGGTCTCCCATATCCTGGCAAACTGTTCAATGGAGGCTATTTCTTCCCTAGACCCTGGAAGAAAACTTGGACAGTGACATGGAAACACAAAAGTCCAGGTCATGTTGTTATCCCATTCATATATGGGAGCACATTAATCAGCTGTCACCATCCACAAATGGGACCTGCAGGCTCTCCCAGGCACAGGGAGGACTGCCTGTAGATGACCATCTCCTAGGGTGGTGTGGATGGCTGGTTTCCTGCCCCCTCGCAGGTACCCAATCCCCTCTAAGTTTGGGATAGAGGGGCAGGGATGGAGGAAGAAGACAGGAATGGAAGATGCGGTGATTTTTGCTTTGTATGTCTAGTACTAACGGAACTTCCATGCTGACTTTTCTCCTTACAGACTATTCAGAAACTTTAACACCAGCTCATGTTCACTGGTCCTGGCTAACCTCACCGCACCTTCCCTTAATCTCAAAGCCATCTGCATCTAAGGATCTCTGGACTTTGGCAAACTACACCCTAGAGCAGAACCCCTTGTGGTGTCCCAGCTCAGAGCTTCTGCAGTGTCCCACGTCCATTTCTCAGGACTCACACATCATTCTCCTGCCATCAGACCTCAAGGCGTTGTTGATTTCAGTTGCTAGAAATCAAGTTGATTTCCCTTCCTCAGGAAGGATTAGACACCAGGCCACGCAGTCCCCAGCTGCAACACACAAACCTCAGGGACACAAAGTGTAGTCTTTGAAGCTTCTCTTCAAGTCTAGGGCATAGAAGGAAGCACTCTCTCATCCCCTCCCTCATTGTACAGGCCTCGGTGTACAGCTCCAAACTCTTTCCAGACAAGAGTAAGACGCACCTAAAACGCACACCCAGACCATCGTTATGGTCGTCTAGTCAGTAGACTGTTTCCAACTTTTAATAATGTAGCTTTTGAGTAACTTGTACTCAGTTCATTATACAGTGATAACTTGGCAATAGCATTTTGAAGTTATACTTTCCAACACCAGCTGGTTTAAAAAATTATAGCAGTAATCTGCCTTCATGCAGAAGTCCACGTTCACACCGAATCTTTAAGCACCCATAGTTGCTGAAAATATTTTAATATTTCATTGCATTTTGCGATTTTTCTTTACCAAATGAGTGGAAAATAGGAAGTGGTACTGCTTCTCTATTAACTAAAAGCGTAAGTTGCATAATCTTGAAGTAATTTCTAGGCGAAAAAAAAACACAAATACCTCCCAGGTCCAGGCAGCTAACAACTGGAATGGAAAGTGCATGTATCCCTTAAGGGCATTCGTGTTCACTCTGCTAAAAATTATCCTGGGTCACAGTATGCGACCTCTGATTAGAAAAGCATGGGACACATAAGGCAGGGCAAAATGACTCGTCTTTGTCTTTGGTTTGTACTCCTGCAGTGCTGAGCATTGTTGAGTTCTGAAAGAAAGAATGGATGTGAGTGTTCATATGATATCTGGAGGGAGATGAGGAATTAGGACTTTCGCCATGTGCTTTGGCTTTCTGGGAGTGGATGTTGCCTTACCTCCTGTCATTCACTGAACTTCCACAGACATGCAGACCTGCAGATACAGCATGTGCACAGGAAGGGATCACAGGCTTTACCAACTATTTTATTCTTTTTTTAATGCTTTCTTTAATTTTAATTTTTTGTTTTCATGTTTTTTTAATGTTATTGTGTTAGGACATCCTTATAGTATGTGCATTTTACGGTCATCTTGGGGAGTTTGCACATGTACATCTTATAGCTTGCTTCTTTTTTTTTTTTACCACTTCTTTTCTTTCATCCTTTCTCCTCTAATTCTCTCCCCCCCTTTACATTCTTTTGATATTGTGAATCTCAGTTGAGAGTTACTGCATGAAATGTGCATATTTATTGAGGTCATTAGCACCTCGTACCGGGCATATCTTCACTCTCCCTCCTTCTTCATGCTCTACGTCTCCCTTCTTGGCCTTGGTTGCCTGGACTCTTTCTTACCTGCATGAGATCCATCCCCTTGTCTAGTTTTATCTTTCCTTTATTTTCTCTTAGACTATACTTTACTCAGATAAGAAATACCATACAGTATTTAAGTTTGTGCTTCTGATTTATTTCATTCAACATATTTTCTAGATGCATCCATTTTCCTAAAAAGTCTCTATTTTGTCCTTCATAGTTCATTAGTATTCCATTATATATAAATGGCACAATTTCTTTCTTTCTTTTATTCTTTCTTTTGTCTTTTTTTTCAACACTGGGGATTAAACTCAGGACCCTGTACTTGTCAGGCAAGTGCTTATTCTACTGAGCTATCTCCTTGGGCCCCATGACACAATTTCTATATGTAATCATCTGTGGATGAGTATATAGGTTGTTTTCTGGACTTAGCTTTTATGATTTGCTGCTATAAACATTTTTATGTATGTATCACTGTAGTATAATTCCTTCAGCTCTTTGGAGAAGATACATAGAAGGGGAATAACTAGATCATCTGGAATTTCTAATTTTAATTCTTTGAGAAATCTCCATTCTGATTTCCATAATGATTGTACTAGTTTATATTTCTACAAACAATGTATGAATGTTTCTTCTTCTTCACAGCCATGCCAGCACTTGCTGGTTTTTCATTTTGGGGTGGTTGCCACATTCTCTGAAGTAAGATGAAATCTTAGCCTTGTTCTAACTTACATCTCTCTAACGGCCGGAGATGGTGGACACTTTTTCATATATTTGTTGGTCATTTTTACTTCTTCTGTGAAGTAACTGTTCATTCCACCTGCCCATTCTTGACTGGGTCATTAATTTTTGGTGATTAAAATTTTTGAGTTCTTTATATATTCTAGATGTTAATCCTCTGTCTGAGGAGTAACTAGCAAAAAGTTTTTTCCCAGCCTGTAAGTTGTCTCTTCACTCTATTGACTGATTCTTTAGCAGCACCGAAGTTTTTAGTCTGGTATGATCCCATTTGTTGACTCTTGTTAGTTTTTGTGCAACTGAAGTTTTGTTTAGAAAATCCTTCGCTACATCTATGTCTTTAAATGTTTTACCTATTTTATCTTCCAATAAGTTTAATATTTCTGTTTTGATGTTTCTATCTTTGACCGATTTTGATTTTAACTTAGTGCATGATGAGAGACACGGCCGTTTTCAATCTTCTGCAAGCAGGTAACCAGTTTTCCTAGCACCACGTGTGAGCAGGCTGTCTTTCCTCCAAGGTATGATTTTTGGCCACTTTGTCAAACATCAAATAGCTGAATGCGTTTGGGAATATTAGGGGTGATCCAGTTGTATTTGTTTTTGAAGGAGGTGGGGAGGAAATGCAAGAAGAGGCTGATATCTCTTCTTATACTTATTTCTGTGCTACAAACAATGTCATCACTTGTTTTGTTTCTAAGAAATGAATTTGTGTAGATCTGAAACTGATTCTAAGTGGTCATAAAGTAAGTACATAAGCTAATACGAGTTTTCATGCTGATTGATAATTGCCTGGCTATGAAGCTGCCTGAATAGTCATATTCCATTAAAAATCCATATATCAAACTGTACCAGGCATATTAATCATTATAGTATTGGGCTGAAATTTATATATACAGTTTTGGCTATAGCTTTTTAAAAATCTAGATTATACAAAGTAGATTGACCACCATAAAAAGACTATGCTAACATAAAATCATCTGGAAAATTATAGTGTAAGTCATTAACATGGGCACATAAAAATAGGTATTTAGAATGCTATTTTGTTAAGAATAATCTGAATTTGTCACTAGCATCATCCTCACCAGTGAATATCTTAGACTGTCTTCTATGTGAAAATTGTGGTGCTTCACGACACTGAGACTCTCATGATATCTGGAATGTTTGAAGGACAAAATAATGTGTTACTATCTTCTGTACTGGCCTGACTTGAGCTTAGAAGTTACTTAGAGCCCCAGTAACTTGATACTGCTTACCCTGTGCTTGCATTATGCTACAGACAGAATGAATACTATGACTTCTGCTCTAGACCAAATGAGGCAGGGTGTGGGGACAAGGTTGAGAAGTCTCAGGAGTGGATGGATGGAGAAGCATTGGGGGTAACAACACGTTTGGTCAGTTTGGAGCCTACAAAGTTGGAAGGCTGCATCCTTGTTCCAGTCATTATCTATTGGATTTTAAAACTTCACCTTCCTGTCTGACCTTGGAGTATCTGGTGAAATAGGCCCAAGATTGTTTCTATGAGCCACCTATGTCCCAGGTTTCCTAGGTTTCCTCTCCTTTTTAATGGAAAAACTCCACAAAATTTCATAACAACGTAATAGGAGAATGACAATAGTTGTTACATTGCACATTGTTATCTTCAAAGTAGTTACTCAGAACACAAGATATGGGCATAAAAATTCTCCAAAGGATATGAGCAAAAACCTTTCTTTTCAATGAATTAGGAGAAACTCTGTGTCCTCTCTTAAACTCTCTGAAGCTCTTCCCTTCCTATACTGCATGGATATTTACTAGTTCTACATCTGGTCCCTTTGGGGATTTTATTTTCCTGATGTCCATGATGCAATTAGGGAGGTATCTGTTCTCAGGTCCATATTAACTGAACCCTTCTAAAGACTCCTTCTCCTTTCTCATTCTGTGCCAAGCCTGACCAAGAAAGTTTGTGTCCACAAGTTCATCCTTTTTGGCCTGTCAGGAGAAGCGGGGTCTACTTCATACTGTTGACCTAAGTGATGTGCATCGTGCTGTAGCTCAGCATGGCACATACGTGTACATATGATCTCTTCCCTTTCTGGCTCATTACTCCAAAATTTTTA